TATCGCGGGCGTGGCTCACCAACGATTTTTCGGTGGGTGGTCATCCTCACTGATCTCAAAAATATGGCGGTCTGTCATGAATAGCGGACACTGATTGGCCCAATTTAAAGTTTGCATTATAACGACTGCATGACGACAGCGAAATAGAAAACATTTCTTGATTTGATGATTGATATAAAATTTCTTGCAAATATATTTCATTTTTGCTCGCATTTTTGCAAGATTTTGTTAATTTCAAAAGCTTTCTAAGAAAGAAACTGCGAAAGAATCAGCTAAAAGAATGGAGCCGACGTTAACGAAGGTAAGTTTGTTTTAAATATTGATTTTATAATGACTTTAAAACCCGACGGCCTTTGCGTATATGAAACAACTAAACAAGACAGCATATATTTTCAGTGCAGTATCTTTAATATTGATTCCTTTTTTTATGATATTGAATTTTTTAAATAAAAAAGAAAGCAAAGTTATTTGCAAGTGAGAATTTGAAATAATTTTATTGCAAACTCAAAGTTTATCGATAAAGCCATTTTAAAAGGCAGATTAGTTTTTAATAAAGAACACTAGTGACTTTAGAACGTTTTGCGAAGCGTTTGTGGTTGAATTTTATCTTAAATTGAGGCTTATATTACGTATAATTACATACCTAACATATATATGTTGGGAAATTAATAATTGTCTAATTAAAAGTGATATTTTTATGCGATTTTTCATTTGTAAGAATATTCTTAAAAAATTATCGTGCTACCATGACAACTACTTTAGATACTTCAATATTCAATGTTCGGAAAATACAATGGTTTTGTCAGCAACGCGAGGGTTTCTGCATGCATGTATTTTCTAGTATCAGGTCTATCTATTTATTAATAGGCCTGATCGCAGGTTAGGGATTGGGAAGTTTGTACACTCTGTACGGTCTGGCTCTGCAGTTTAAACTCCAAGACTTCCCAATATATACGCCAATTCAAATTCACTAGTGCTACTATATCAGTAGAGTACACCATGAAGTATTAATATAGAATCGATCCTTACCGATCTGAATTCTTCTCGACCGTTTCCCTCAATATTTTTTCCACGGATAATAATGGGTTAATGTTTGATATAGATACATTCTCACGATGCAAAACTGACTGGAAAGAGTGCCCGCAACACGTATATATATATACATGTTTGTTGGTAAAGTGATTTCATTGTTGTCAATCCTTGTGTACAGTTCATTTTCAGTTAAGACCTAAACCTTTCGCTTTCCAGTAAATGTGTTTATATATTTTGCCACGCGTTTGTTTATCCTGCAAATGATAGCTGCCGAAAATGATGTAAATAGATTCAAGCTGTCTTGAGATATAGGCTAGCAATCATACAAAAAAAATTCAAAACGAGACTATAGTGTGGACAGATTAATGAATTATTTCAAATTTATAGTATTAAAATTATGATTCATGGATTGTATAACTTGCAATGGAAGTGTTTTAGCAAATAATATATTTGGTGTATGCACACTCGCAGGAATTAAATTTCTATAGTTTCGAATTGTTCTCCCGGCCATGCATGCAGGAAGGGAAAAGATTGTAATTTTGCATGTTTGTTAGCACAAATTATATTAACTTTCATTTTAATATTCATGAGTCATATTTTTTAAATTGATCATTTTAGTTAATCAAAACCTGACATTGGGTCTTTCGTAGAACGAAACTAATACACTCTGCCTCTTTTATCTGGCCCGATTGCCACCCATGGTTCCTCCACGACACAGTGCTGCCTAAGCTATATACGACGTATTTGCAAATATTCTGAAGCATGTAATGTAATCCAACTCAACCTCATCGGAAAGGTGAAAAAGTGCGTATACCTGCAGGTTAGCTACTAACGATTTCCAGCTGTTCAGTTTTTAGTTTAAAACCTAAATTCACAGCACTCTTTCAAAAATATACGCTTTTATTGAAAGCGTATATTATAATAGTCCTTGCATAACATTAACTAGTAGCCATACAATGCACCAGATACCAGGAAGTTGTACATGAACCGCTGGGTGGGTGGAAATTCTTTTTTCTCGGTAACAAGACATTGCTCTTTGTAGGGATACTTGTCAAACTGAACTCCCTTACCACATTCACCGTTGTTCTGCATGTTCGTTGTTGACATGTGATTGGTCAGTTGATCTTTCATTCGGTTTACACGTGCCCAGGGAAAGATTTGAACTTTGGATTACTGTATTGGATATCGCCTTTTTGTGGCTGTTGACAAGCTTATCCTGCTACAATGAGATTAAAACCATGTTTGAAGGTGACAAACGTGTTGTCTCATTAACTTGAATTTACATATATTGTTATATATAAATTTGCTCAATACTATAATAAAAGATATCGTCTCAGATCGAGGAAAACAGCAACGGATTTGTAAAAACTAGTATTTAAAATGGCTACAAATAGAGGGAAATGTCGTAAATTGGTTTCCAACAAATTTTTTTGTTCCTTTCGCACTTTGGCGTATAATCCAAAATTCTTTGGCAGCAGGTCGAATATTTTCTCCTAGAATTAACATGGACGCATCGAGAGTAAACTAATTAAATAATCAATAGCGCCGGCGTGGATAGAAACTAATATAGGAACCTTCTTATGCATGCAACTAACTGTATTAGACTAGCGCATTCTTACCAACTTTTCCTCAACTCACATCTATGGTAACTATTTACATGTAATCTACCATATGTTGTATCGTATACTAAAAGACACCGGCAATCCTTTATACCTAGAGCTATATCCCTTTTAAAACAGTCCTAAATTAATTTTATAGAATATATAACTAGTATAAACATTTTTAGCAACATTGATGTAAATAATAGTAAAATTTCTTCTTATCAATTTTAACCTTAGCACTTCTTGTAAATCCATTGTACTTTTCTAACCAAAGATGGATATTAAATGTTATTATAATACATATAAGCTGTCAACATGCATTCAACGCTATAAATCGAAACTGGGAAGTTTTGTGTTCATAAATATATCAAAGCCGATCTAAAACAAAACATTAGTATATTTTACTTAGCTTAGAATAACAAGTAGCCGATAAATATTTTTTACTACTTAGGCCTATACGTTACAGGCCTACAGTCTCGCATGCAGCACAAAGGTTTACTTCCCGACAAAGGTCCTTTGTTCGAAACGGGTATTTAAATCCTTACAGTTTTCGAATTTTGCTAAGTTATATAACAATTAGAGCCACTAATTACAAAGTACAAACATCGATCTGGCCCATTCTTGGACTGCCTCCCAACAACCGAACCAATAATACTATGATATCAATTGTCATCTGACTGCTCTGAGTCATCGTCTTCTGTTGCGTTTAATTAAAATTGCACAAGCAAATTCATTGTTTGCATTTATCCTATCTCGGAGTTTCAGTTGAGATGTCCATATTAATTTTAAAAAACATTTTCTATATAATCGTCCTTTGAAACACCATGTTTGGTGATCGATCTAAATTCAACACAATTCACGTTTAGTTAAATCTTTTCTGTTTAATTTGTAGTAAATTTGATACAAGGCCTTAACACGACTCGACAGAAAGATATATTTTGAACATGAAAATGATATCGGGAATCTGAAAATGAAATGGTTTATAATTGCCCTTTCGAGATTTTCAATCATCAAAGATTATTGAAATTATGAGAGGATGATTTTCCGTATTGTTTAAGTTTTAGGACAATTATAAAGATCATTTCTTCCGGTTCTGCATGTCTATATGATATTTCAACGCGTATTCGGTACTCAAATAGGCATGTGGGGGAGAATTCTCCACAGGAAAATTTTGAAATATAGAGTTCCTAAAATTATTAGCAAATCCTGCATTCTGGAGGAACATGTTTACCATGGTTTATATGCTTATTTTACTTTAATCCCTTAAATGTTGTTAAATATATATATATATATATATACAAATTGGTTTTCTCCTTCTGCCGTATAGTGCTCTACACCAAAGTGGAGCTGAGTTAAAATTAAAAATTAAAGATTAAAACCTAAGAATGTTCATTAAAAATTGAAAAGCACTACAGTTCTGTTTCGGGAGGCCCTTTCTAGATCCTCTCTCTTCAGGTGCATGATCAGATTATATATATATATATATATATATATATATATATATATATATATATATATATATATATATATATATATATATATATATATATATATATATATATATATATATATATATATATGAAAGCGTTATGGTTGCCATGCCTGGTTTCAATGTGAATGGTGTTTTAAAAATTAAAATAAAACAAGAACTTCCTCAGGCATAAAAAGGTATAATGACTATAACCCAGACGTTTCGCCGGTTAAGGCTTCTTCAGTGGGTGAAAATTTTTTTTTATATATGATATATATATTATATATATATTATATATATATTATATATATATTATATATATATATATATATATATATATATATATATATATATATATATATATATATATATATATATATATATATATATATATATATGTGTGTGTGTGTTGTAAAGTATTGTATTTCATTCTGTCTGAAGATGACTTTGAAATAAAGTCGAAAATTTACAGTCTCAAACTGCGTCGTGTTTTGAATTATATATTGAATTCTCAAGATGTCCTGTATTTTTGGAATTTGTTTATTACTTTCATAATTGCAAGAGTATGCTAATTTCCAAAAGTAACCATACAGTATGAAGATCCACCTTTACAATAAAAAGATCACATGCGCGAACTAAAAATGGAAATGAACATACAGGAACGGACGAATCCGATCTTTTTTGTATGGGAAGCATTTATAGATGTTGTCAGTCATTGGCAAATAATCGGCTCGGGAAAATATAGAAGCATAACATATTTTTGTCAATGCGAGCATACACAGTAAAAACAAATTGGTTAAAATGATCAAAAAAAATTGGTCGTTTGAATGCGTCTGAGACAACCAGTTTAAATTGGTCGTTTTAACCAAAAAAGAAATTGGTCAAATTGACCAATTATTTAATTGGTCAAATTGACCAATTATTTATTGGTCAAAACAACCGGAAATAATTGGTTGTTTTGACCAATAAATAAATGGTCAATTTGACCAATTAACTATTTGGTTAAA